AATCAATTATTAAAATAATTTTTCGTATAAGATCAAGATAATTATCTTTTAATCATCATCATATCAAAACTCAAAATCCTGAACGAAAAAAAATTTTCCATTTTATGTCATCATTTTTTAATTTAATGACTTTGCACAATTTTTTAAATAATTTTTTTCAATTCGAAATTTATTCCATCTATTCGAAGATGAAATTTTCAACCGATATACAATAGAATACTTATATTTCGATCGAAATCCTAAGAAGTAGACAAATTCCTTCACTCGTCTATGCGAGCAAACAGCTGAAAACAACTCACGTGGTGCGCAGTAGGTTCGATGATCCTTACTTCGGCGTGACCTTCGTTGGCTATCCCACAGGTTCAATGCACGCTTGTTGTACGTATAATCTCGTAACCAGTTACGTCTTACTCGAGCTCGGAAAATGCCTCTTTCCTTTTATGCTCGTGAAACTCGACCTTTTACAACTTTGCCCTGGATAGATATTTTTTGTGATTATTCGAATTTCTTTTACGATGAAAATTCTAAAATTATTAGATTTGTTCAAAAAATTTATAATATCTATATTCAACTGTTTACAACATAAACTTTTTTCTTTAAATTTACTCTTCTTTTAGACAATGAATTCCTCTAATTTTTTTTTGCATATTTCTAAGGAATTTCTAATTTATAAATGATAATGAACTAAATATCTAATGAAATTGTAATAGTTTCCATACTATAATTAGAATATTTTGTAAAACAAAAGAAAGATATTTTTATCAATTTTTTCAATTAGAAAAAAATATTATTAAATTACAACAGAATAAAATTTGTTGATAATTATAAGCTTTAACATTCTGGTTTTAAAAAAAAATTGTTATTTAAACTTTTTTTACAACAGAATAATATAAAACATTTTTATGCATTTATTATATATATAACATAGTGGATAATATATATAATAATTTTTCAATTAAAAAGATCAATTTTTATATAAAGATATTAATTTTCATGTTTCTAGAGTTAAAAGAAATCGCACATTGTTTCCAGTGAAAAAAAAAGTAATCGAAGAGAAAGACGAAGGAGAGAGAAGAGACTTTCACTTCGCCCAGGGTCGTTGCGCTGACGTTTCTCACGCTTCCCTTTGTGCATTGATTCCTCAAGTCTTCGAACGATAGTTTTCTCTTTCACAAATCCATCGTTCCGTGTTTTCCTCACGAAAACCGAGATGTTTAACGAAACGAACGTTAAGTTCCGAAACGAATTGATATTTCATGCCGCATTATCCTGCCATGGAGATTGACATAATCGGCCTATTCAAATTGATTATCTATCCCTTAAAGAGCTCGCTTCTTCGTTTCCTTCGTTTCCTTCGTTTCTGTCTAAATGGTAACCAATAGTTATTATTATTGCGATACTTGAAGGAAAAATTGAATGATGATCCTGTATCATATTACAATAATTTTAATTAAATTGCAAGTCAAGATAATATTATTGTTATATCTATTTAAGAAAAAAATCTTAAATTGATACTATATAAATGTTTACTTTTTCGAATCAATCTTTGAATGATTTTTCGAGAATTTTGTTTTAAAACATAGAAGAAACATTCTAATAAAAAGATACTATAGTATAAAAAAAAGCAGTTTTTTTTTATATTTTTCTAACTTTTATTACATATTATGCTCTATATTATTACATTCTACATTATATGGATATTTTTCAACTATTTATCTTTTGAAGATATCATTAAAAAAATTATTTAATCTCCGAAAAAAATGTCCTAATAGATAACAATTATTCTATCTCTATCTAAATTTTTTCTTATTTTCTATATATATACACACAAAGAAAAAAATAACAAAAAATCATTTAAATTTAATCTTTCGATTAGATATATGAGATAACAATTACATATTTTATCTTAGAAAACTTCTTATATTGTTAGAGATTTCGAATTGCATATACCAACTCGTCAATGACCTATGACGTGGATCTCTTTGCGTAACATCGTTTTCGTAATAAAACTCTCATAAAACTCCGAGTCTAACCACGTTTCAAGGGCCTATAACGGCAAAAGGCCATGCCTCGGCGGCCATAACATATATACTATCGTGATAAGGGCTGCATCGAGGCGGACTAGAGAAATAGATTTGGCTCCGGGCTCGGTTTCGTTCGCCAAGGTCGTGCACACGCGTGACGTCAGGGATCGTTGACTCATGGGGGCTCGACCTCGGTGTCTTCTTCTTCCTCTTCCTCTTGCCTTCTTCGCTTTATCTCTTTCGTTTCGTCCACGCCTTTAATCGTGCTTTTCAACTAATTTCGAGGCCGATTATAATGTAAGATATAAATTTTGAAATTTTTTATCTTTTCTTTTGAAACAATTGTAAACGCAGTCCTTGGATATAATGAATTCTTTGTGAAGCTTTTCTTTGTGAATTATTAATAGATTTAAACTTTTTTGAAGAAATAATCGAATTTTTGTTTCAGTTGAATTTATTACATATAATTTGATACGATGTTTTATTTAAGGAAATTAATTATTAAATTTTGAATCACTTCATGACATATTATATATTTTATGCATATTACATTTGAACTTTGATCCGTTTCTTGATTTCATTTGTCATGTATTAATAAATCATTTGATTAATTATTCACGATTTAAATAATAATAAAATTTAATTCCGTATTCTGTGTAATTTCAACAAATTTATATAATTCAAATACTTCGTAAATAAAAACTTGTTTGCAAATCGTTACTGACTCGAGCAAGGATCGATATTGAGCGGAAGTAGATGCACACCTCGTCACGTTTCAGAACGGAAAAGAGGTATCCGATCGATGATCGTATATACCGCTTGACACCTTTTTCCCGTTGTATATGGGATTGATACACGTCTGCATTATTTATTATTATTATTTGAATCTTTATTTTCATTAAAAGATTATTCCGTAATCTATAAAAAATTAAATTTTTTATTTTTTATTTTTAAAAAATTACTATAATTTTTTTTTTCTTTGCTACGTGAAAATTTTTTTTATTACCAATTAACAATCTTTAATTGATTTATATATATAATATAAGTGAGGTTAAAAAGATTCGACTTTGTTATAATTAGAGTACGCGATTCTTATACTTTGAGCTTTTCAGCAAGAAATTTCATAGAAACAGCTTCCTGTTATATTACATCATGTTCATCATAATAACGCCTACTTGAATTCTTAAAGATGAATCGAAACCCTTCTGAAATGCAATCTTTCATAAAATAAATAACAAATTGAACAATGTATTAAAAATTCTCTCACAATTCTTATTCTAATTCTTATTCTTATTCTCTCTTTTTCGACGTTTATCTTTTATAATTATCAAGAAAAATATATTTCGGATAAAAAGAAGTTCGTTTTACAAAAACGTGAACATTTTCTGATACATCGATTTTTTTTCTCAAACTTTATCTCTTCCTTTACATATATTATACGTATTCTCTACGTATATTTTCACTTTCATCCATAAATCAGCATATATAATTTGACAAGTTGCATCAGACTAATGTGCATCAAAGCGAACGCGACAAAGGTTAAATTTTTTTACGTATTTTTTTTCAAGGTAATTACGTAAGAGATATAAGTTCAATTCGACCCTGGCTCCCTCTCTTTTTCTTTCCAACACGTGCTTCCGTACTTGTAGTACTTCTCGCGACTCGTCTGCTTACTACTTCAAGGCCACGATCAATTTAGTCGTAGGAACCTTCGACATTCCTCTCAAAAAGAATCTCTGTTAGCTTTTTTCCTCTCTGGTTCTTTTCTCTTTTTTCTTTTTTTTCCTTTTTTTTTTTTTTTTTATTTGGGGCTACACGACAAAACTAGCGAATATATCCGAGGACGAGGAAACCATTCGACACACACGTGCACAAAGAGGATATATATAAAGAAGCATACATTGTGTACAATCGGTGTTTCACGAGTTTTGTCATAACCTGAAAGCCAGACAACGTAACGGAAGGTCTTCTCTAATTGCGAGCGATAAGAGGACTCACCATGCAACTCGAAATACAGTAATCATATTTTCGTTTCTTGTCTCATATTTTTTTTTTTCTTTTTTTTTCTTGCATATTGCAATATAGTTATGATCAACTTTTAATTATATTATATGAAATAATTATGTTATATTTTTCAATTTAATTTGTCCTACTTGGTAATCATATTTCATTTTACGAAAAATACATCGTTTTTATTAAACGAATTGAATGTAGAAGATTATCTGAGAACTGGAAAAAAAAATTTGAATATATTCATTAAGTTTTATATTGTTTGATAAGAAAGAAATAATATTAAAAATGTTTTTATTCGTTATGTAGGATTTTGTATATTTTATCAATTATTGGGCATTATGGAAGCATTATATTCCATAATTATGAAAATTCGTATTTACGGCTTATGGTTATTCTAAGATCTATATAAGTTTAAAGTTTATATTATTCTAAAGATAGAAAAATCTTTTGTTATGAGTAGAAAAAAAAAGAACGTGGTTTAAAAAAAATCTATATCACAAAGAAACTAAAACTTTGCTTTGTTAATCTCCGATGGACGAAGTTATCTAAAAGTTGAATGCGTAATTTCCTACGAATACAAAATTATCTTGCTCTCTCTAATAAACACAGATACCATACAATTATCAATATCCTTGTATTAATTTACTCTAATTGAATATTTGATCAATAAATTTCTTCTATTTTATATTTATAAATTTTTCTGTTTCTATATTTATAAATTCTTAAACCATATTTATTTTTTATTAAAGAATAAAAATTATTACTTTATTATTAAAAAGAACTTCTTCTATTAAAAGACAATTAATTTCCTATCCTAATAATATCAAGATATTATTTAAATCTTATTCCTTCAACAAAAAAAGAAGGAAAAAAATTACTTGACGCATATTTGCGTAGTCCTTAGCGTAGATAAATTAAGGTAGTTTCCACGGGATACATTCTGACGTGGTGTCGCATTTGAAGGTCTTATGTGCACAGGTGAAGGTGGTTAAGTTCAGCTACATGTGGACGATAAATAACTTCAGCTTTTGCCGGGAGGAAATGGGAGAAGTACTAAAGTCGTCCACCTTCTCAGCAGGGGCCAACGATAAATTAAAATGGTAAGATCCGGAAGTATAAGCTCGTTTGTCACGCGTAGAACACGAGTCTGAAAATTTCACTTCTGAATTTCACAGTAGAAAATTACTTGGCAAAATTATTTAAGATTCTTTGCATTGCATACCAAATTGTTTTCTTGATCTCATAAATTCATTTTTTTTTAATGATTTTTTTGTTATATAGGTAATCTTTCAATATAAAATATATTATATCTGAAATGTTGGCTACCTTATTACTGATCTCGTTTTTTTTCAATAAACAAATAAAAATTGATTTATCTATAATTTTTTATTTTATATTTAATTACTTAATTTTTTTATTTCAATTATAAAATAAAATTGTTTTTTATATATCTATACTTTTTAAAATTTTGGTACGAATTTTTCATCTTTTTTTTTATTGAAATATCAAAATATCACATCATTCATATCACATAATATAAATATATAATTGTTGATATTTCTTATAAAAAATTATTAATAATAAATTAAATAAATAGTAACATCAAGTTTCTTGAAAAATTCGAAATCATATCAGATAAGTTTATATTGATGATAATTGATTTTAGGTGCCTAAGAGTGAATCCTAAGGGTCTGGATGAGGAGAGCAAAGACTATCTGTCGCTATATCTCCTTCTCGTTTCGTGCAACAAATCCGAAGTCAGAGCAAAGTTCAAATTTTCTATTCTTAATGCCAAAAGAGAAGAAACCAAAGCAATGGGTAAGTGCTAAACACATGAAACGGATGCAATGCAGGGTATTTTAAAAATTACAATTAATATCATAATTATACATATTATAATATCATAATTATATTATACAATAAACATATTGAAAGATAATTTTTTAATTATCATATTTATATATCTGCATCTATATTTTTCGCTAATCATGCAAAAATATATGTATGCATGATGTGTATGCAAATCGTGTAGCAAATAAATGCTCATTAAATATGCCGATTTTAAAATAATAATTAAATCATAATTTTATAATGGAATTTTATAACAAGTTCAAAGATCTTGGGAACAAAATTCAAAATTCATAATAAAAATCTTAATTTATTTTAAAAAAAGATATTTCGTTCAAAAATGGTAAACAATGGTAATTTTATATTTTCAGAGAGCCAACGTGCTTATAGGTTCGTCCAAGGTAAAGATTGGGGTTTTAAGAAGTTCATTAGGAGAGATTTCTTGTTGGATGAAGCCAATGGACTCTTGCCCGACGATAAACTCACGATATTCTGTGAGGTATATACCTTTGTATGTTACATACTCAATATTTGTATGATTTTCTAACGTTTATTGCGAATGAAAATCTGTAATTCTATAAAATATTACAGGTCAGCGTAGTGGCAGATAGCGTGAATATTTCCGGACAAAGTAATACTATACAATTCAAAGTTCCAGAATGTCGATTACCGGATGATTTAGGACTTTTATTTGAAAACCAAAAATTCAGCGATGTCACGTTGACAGTATGTGGGAGAGAATTTCAAGCGCACAAAGCTATTCTCGCGGGTATAATAAATTATTTTTTAAAATTAATACTTTTTATATTTTTATATTTTATATTATAATCAATATCTTCGATATCTTATTCAAAAAATGGATGATTTTAATTTATAATTTTATTCTTTAGCACGAAGTCCTGTTTTTTCGGCGATGTTCGAGCACGAGATGGAGGAAAGGAAACAAAATCGCGTGGATATCACCGACGTAGACCACGAAGTGTTACGAGAGATGTTACGATTTATATATACGGGAAAGGCAGCAAATTTGGAAAAGATGGCGGACGATTTACTAGCTGCAGCGGACAAATACGCATTAGAAAGGTTGAAAGTTATGTGCGAGGAAGCGTTATGCACAAGTTTAGCAATCGAGAACGCAGCTGACATTCTAATTCTTGCTGATCTTCATAGTGCTGATCAACTTAAGGCACAAGCCATAGATTTTATTAACACGTAAATATTCATAAACACGTATAAATGTTTAAAATGAAATTCAGAACAAATCTATCTAGATCAGAAAAAATCTATCTAGTAAAACAAAACAGATTTATCATAAAATATTCTATTATATAATGTCAATTGATAAAAGAGAATAAATTTTTCTATCATTTTATTCATGATATTTGTTTCAGACATGCGACAGACGTAATGGACACAGCAGGTTTTAAATCAATGGTGAACTCTCATCCGCACCTCATAGCGGAAGCGTTTCGGGCATTAGCCACTCAACAAATTCCACCGATCGGACCGCCCAGGAAGCGGGTGAAACAAAGCTGAAAACAATCACCGCTGACTCCGGGCACAACCTCCACATCGCCCCCGCCTATTTTGCATCCCTCATGACTTTTTTGTGTACAGTGATACAAGTAGTGCTAAATAAATGTTTCCTAGTGCGCCATTCTCTGGTCCACTTAAAAAGGAACTGCGACGAGAACTGTTCTTCATGGTTTTCGACCTAAATTTGTATCGTTTAAACAAGATACATTGTGCAGCCGATTCAAACGGCAAGGCGGGAAACGCAATTAACTTATGGCTATAGACTTTATTGTAATTTGGTGAAATCGTCGATATTAGAAAAAGCCTATCACAGAAAAGAAATCGAGAAAAGGGTATGATGAAAGATAATCTTTTTCTGAGAAAGAGTAAATTATTAAACGCGTTGGTTTCAATCAGATTGAACGAAATTATTGGTAGTTTGCATTGTACGTTACATTCTCCTGTGTGAGAGGGACATGTGTTTATCCATCGATACGCAAATATCATGTCAGCGATTTGTCAATGCGCATAATTAGGGTCTTGTAATGGATTTGTTTTCGTTTATAATGAGAATAAGTGATGAAAACGCGCAAACCATCTATGCATTATGAAAAAGACATCAGAAACAGCCAGAGGACCAAGGCGAGATTGAAACTCGCTGATACATTGCTACACATATAACAAACTCACACGCGAAGAAAGAGAGATATACATGTGATGTACGAAGAAAGTTGTGATAGACGTCAACCAGACAATTAAAAGAAAAAGATTTTGTTCCTTTGTCGAAAATAACGAATCAAATAAGAAGTGTCCCACGCTTGTTCATCGTGTACACGAGCGACGAGAATAAAATTAGATATGTTTATTACTGATAGTGATTTTTAGTTTTAAATGAAAAAAAAAAAAAAGAAAGAAAAATGAAATCGTCGAATTCTTCCAAGAACGGAGAAAAAATGATTCTAGTTAGTGTTTTTTATGATCTCTTTCTCTCAACATGTACGACTACTACGATTACTATTAATGCTACGCAATCTGTGCCCCGTATTTTTGTATATTTTTTGTCTGCAAATATCTACATCCTATCCTCCTGCGGCCTTTTTCTCTATTTCCCCTTAATCCCTATTCCCATTCCCATTCCCATTCCCTTGTCGCTAGGCACAGTTTGTTTTGTTTTCTCGAGTATTGCATAGTAGACGAAGTGATAGATTCGAATTATTATTATTATTGTTATTATTATTTTTATTATTATTACTATTATTATTACTATTATTATTATTATTACTATTATTATTACTATTACTATTATTATTATTACTATATTATTATTATTATTATTATTATTATTATTATTATATTATATTGTATTAAATTTAGGGTTGTCCATAATTTATCAGATTTTATGTTAATTATTATTGAAATGTCTATCATATTCGCAGGATATATGTATTAATTAAAAATATTGCAAGAGTTTCATTAAATGAAAAGAATGAAATCAAACAGATATTGTTAGAAAAAGAAGAAATGAACATCAAACATAAAAAGGAAATTAAAAACACTGTATAATATAAAAGGTTAGTCAATTATAATATGAGAATATTAATCGTTTTTGTGTAATTAATTATCAAAATCGCGAAATTGTGTGGTCAATGATCTGAATTATGGGCAACCGACAGAATACACAAAACAATAATCATCATTTAGTACCGTACTGGCTTCCTGATCCTCCGACCTAGCTTTACCGAATGTTTTAAATACAAGATATAAATACTTACCATTACAAAGGAGTAATGATATCGAAGATTTAATGCCATACATGTTCTGTGATAAGACCACTGTAATTAACCGCAATTGTATCACAACCTTTCTAGAACTTTCTGACGATCCTGGCAGCCAGTGAATTTATCTTTTAAGGAAACGGTCGCTATATCCGGACAGTCCCAAATCTAGCGTCCCTTTCGATTTTAAGGTTTTTACTGTACATATCTACTGTATTTTATAAGAACTGAACCGAAACGGAACTATACTTTTAATGAAGGGTACAATAATCAACTATAATTTATTCTATTTTACAGACTGTGCTAAACTCATGTTCCTTGAAACACACTAGCAATGCTTTAAGTAAATGTAATGTAATTATGACAAATTAATACGATTAGATTATATATATGTGTATCTCGTTTTTGATCTCGATATGTACATGCATTTACACGTATCGTCTATCATGGCGTTGTAATGTATTTCTGTCGAGATTAAAAGTAAAAAAAAAACTCCTATGGAAACATAGTTAGGGAAGATTTTCCACCGTTTTTTACACGATGTTTATTTCAGTCGTAGTAGGTTGTTAAGGCTTACAAAATAAAATGACAACAAAATAGAGAAATGAAAAAAGAGGATAAAATATAAAGAAAATATAAAATATGTTGTAAGCAGTTTAAGGAACAGATTTTGGCCATGTGTGCTCGCTCAGATTTTAAAAATGTCAAAAAAAGAAAAGAAAGAAAAAATTGTCTACGTCCATTCTATTATCCATGTTCTATCTTTGGGACTGTGCGGCGAAAAAAGTATCTCATGAAACTCGTAATATTGAATGTCTTTTTCCTAAAAACGAAAAACTAAATATTTACCGTACAACAGTTCGAGAAATATTAGATGCAATTCTTTTTGAACCAATCTGCATGAGCGTATGACTGGATAATTTGATAAACTAAGTACAAGTAAGACAAATGTTACCTCATCATGAAAATCAGCATGGTCGTGTCGCACTAGCTACTACTGCGCTGCTGTCTGATACACTTCCATTGTATATTATTGCATTTAAACTCGAAAAAAAAGAAGCTTTTTGTAACGAATAGTTCAGCAGTGGTAGCTTTTTGAAGTACATGACTGCTGTTCATTAAACCCAGCTCATATAAACGTTCATTTTTCCATTTACTTTAAGTCATTGCACCACATCAAATAAATGACATTTTCATTATATAATCATGAGAATTTTACGTGATTTTCATTATCCCCAACACATTTCATTAATTTTATAATATATTTAAATGTTTATTTTCAGCAAATTTTAACAAATCAAAAATATTATCAAAAGATAATATTTTTAAAAATAATAATATAAATGAAAATAATTCAATATTATTTACATTAGATAAGAAGCTTATTTAGTTATTTACTTCATTTTTTTTATCAATTTTTTAATTATCAAGTTTATTTTTTTCATTAATTTAAATCAAAATAGATATGAGAAACAATACATTTATAAATATTAAATATGAATCGTAATCAGATTTGTTTGATCGTTCGTAATATTTGATATTTGTTGAGATACCTTCGAAGTTTCTGGATAAACTGGTGATGCTTCAAGCATAGAAATCTGGAGAACATAAATAAAATGATATTACATAATAAAATTAAGATTTTTATCTGCTATTTGATAATAAAAAATATTAGAAAGGATTATAATAATATTTAACATAGATTGGAATATATGAAAATTTTTTCTATTTCTTCATTTGTTTTATTTCTGTTCCTATATTCTTTCAATTATCAAATTGAAAATAGACATACTTTATTGAAAGGAGTTTCATAAAGAGGAGGTGCACTACAAGCTTCATTATAAGATGGTGGTCTATCCATTGATGGTCTAACCATTGAACAATGCAGTGGCCTGGAATCTGTATTGCAATCTGAATATCTCATGCTATATATTCTGTAAATTTTTATTAAATATATAAAACCAACATTAATAATATCTAATTTTGTTAATTTTAAAACTATAGTATATAATTTTAAAATATATCTCTAAAACTATATTTTAATTTTAAATTTCAAAATAAAATTGGATTACATTAAGTTATTAAAAATTCGTACCTGTTATAATATAATAAAATTACAAAAATACATAAAAAATATAAAAATACTAATAATAGAAAAATGATTACAATCATTTGTTATGATTATAAATATACTATAAATGTACAATTTTTATTTCTGTAAAAAAAAATTAATTAACATTTAAAAAAATTCCATGGTTCCATAAGATATATAAATGAAAGAAATTATAATTACTTACAATAAAAATTTATAATCAAACATATATACTAGCATGGAACATTGAAATGTCCCAAAAACAATTTAAAAATATAATAAATTTATTATTGTTATATTGTTATATATATTTATTTATTATTATTGTTATATATATTGATAATATACTTATGTATATTTTTGTTTCAATTATTTAAATAGCTTTCATTTTTACATTGCAAACTGTCATCAAAAAATAGTAGTGTTTAATTCTATATAAAAATACTTTTTTACTATAGATATAAGAAAAGATGAAAAAGAAAAAAATCTTTAATAAAATAGAATCCAATATATTACATACCTCAATACTTAAATTCACTATGAACATTAATTATAAAAAAATATGTATAATTGAAAATTTATAGCTAAGATATTATACCAATATTATATTACCTAAATATTAATAAATTAACAAATAAAGGATGAATCTATAATTTATTTCACATTACTGATTTTCAATTAAAAAATTTTATTGCATAATGATTTTTTTAACTTTTAGATCTTAATATTTATAAAAAACAAATATTCTAAAATTTTTAACTTTTCACAAATAAGTAAACATATTGTTTTAAGCTTAAACATTAAATATATCTTGCACATATAAAAGCTATAATCTTATCAGATGATATCACTTTGATAACATTACATATAATTAATATTTTAGTCATTTTCCTGAGAATTGATATACTCCTTAACATATTTTCATATATCTTTAAGAAATGATATAAATAGGTAAATGAATAGAAAAAGTGAATATATATATATATATATATATATATACAAAATGGCATAGAGTATATTTTGTAATATATATGAATAAATTATTAATAATCCAACGTTATAACAATTCCTAAGACCATATAATTTATAATAAAATGAAGACTTATGTAAATATTTGTTTGAAGTTAATGCTGTACAATCAATTTGTTAAAGTAATTAATGCTTCTACAACATTTCCCCTATGTTCTCTGAGTGTTTGTTCTGCTACATTTCGATTTATTTCCATTTCTCTCATCTAAAATAATATGAGTATTTTAGTAATTGAACAAAATTTTTAACATATAAATGAGCTAATTAAAAAATAATAATAATTATAATGAATCTTACAATAAGATCAACATCTTCTTTTTTAATGGGAACTTTTAACAATTCCTTTTCTCTTGCCTTTTTCTCCGCAGCTTCTTTATTGCGTCGATCTCCGATTATACTTAATGCCTTTGATAAAAATGATTATGATTAATAATTTTATACATATATATTTGTATATATAATTTTTTGTAGGTTAGGTTTCAAGATTACATATTCTTAAATGAAAAATTTAAAAATATAAATTATAAATATTAAGAAAAATAACAGAAAAATTAATTTTGAATTTGAAGAGTAAGAGTTTTCATCATTGCCAAAAAAACTTAGTAAACATTATTGACAATCATAAACACACGTGGAATAGATAGAAGATAATATGAATACTTACGCAAGAAAATCCATCAGATGAGGATATTTCTTTTTCCTCTGCATAATCTGTAACTTTTTCTAAATCTGCCGCACCACTATCATATTTTGCTGTTTTTTTCTGTGATTTTTCTTGCTGTACTTCATCAGAATCACCATTTACATCGTTATCCGCCATTTTTCCTTTTTTTAAAATATACTTCACATTGTGTGATAATTATGAACTATATATGATAACTTCACATTGAACTCTAATAATGTCTATTTTCAGTAATTTAGTATCATTAATTGTTATAAATTATAAGAAGTTGATTAAGAAATATTATTTTTTATAAATCTTAACTGCTTTTAATTTTGTGCAACATAAATTATAATTTAAATCATTATAATATCATTATGAAAAAAAAAAATTTTTTAAATAAAAATTATTAAAATATATTTATTAAATATAAAATCTTAAATATAAAAAGTATCGTAAATTATTCATCTACAATAAAATTTTAATTTTATAAAAAAAAAATAATTGTTTAAAAAATCTAATATGCTTAGTCCAAATATCTTAAATAAATAGAAAAAGTTAAAAAAAAATTAAAAATAAAAGAGATAATAAAGAAAAAATAAAAATAAAATTTAAAACATATTATACATATATTTATATGTAATAAAAATCATAATAAAAAATTATAAAAAAACTTATTAAATATGCAGTTATATATATTTTTTTTAATTAACAAATATAAATAATTTAAAAATATATATTTACTCATTTCAACTTTTAATATTTCAAATCATAATGTTCAGTTAAAATTATATTGCGCGTAAGATAAAAAATGTAACGATATATATTTAGACATTTTAATTTTATATTATTGAATAATAAAAGTTGAACTTTTTTTCATAAGATATCAAAAATTAACTAGATATAATAGAATCATATAAGTTATATAAACAATGAAAATAATAATATAAAATTTTTTTTAGATAAATAATCGAATAAAGTTATTATTTTATATCATTAATTTTAAGTAAAATAATATTTTATTAAAATAAAATAAATTGATGTTACGAATTATCATCAGTTATCTATGACATGTGTAAAATATAACCTAATAATTATTGAATTAACATAAATAATCGTTATTTACTTTACAAGAAATATTCTAATGTTTTTTTTTTATTAAAAAGTTTATTTTATTAAAAAGTTATTAAATAATTTATAATAATGACCGAACCATCATTTAGTAAACCAACAAATGATTCACCATTTTTTCGAAACGAACCTGTAAATTACACGACCGGTATATTTCAATTTAATTATAATATTTTTATATTTTATATTTGTTTATATTTTTATTTTTAAATTTTTTATAAATAAAAATAATATTTTATAGAAATTCGTCAAATGATGCATGGATTTGGAGACAGTAGTGAACCATTAATTGAATCTGCGAAAATTGTAGAAGAAGTTGTTTTGCAACAAATGAGAACAATAATAAAGAAAGCTTGCGAAGTTTCTGAAAGACGAGGAAATTCGAAAAAAAATATCTGTGTTTCCGCAGAAGATTTAATTTTTTTATTACGTAAAAACAAAGTAAAATTGCAGCGACTTATAAAATATTTAGGCAAGTTTGATCTCAATATTGTATATTAAAAAATTTTATTTTTTATAATGTTCTTTTGTATCTCTTATTTTTTGCAAATATTTTTACATAATCATATTTTCCAGACTTAAAACAATTTAAAGCTTCTATACACAAAACTATAGATAGTGATTTACCTGAAGATATTCTGGAAAATGAAAATTTAAATGGATCCAAAAATAAAGGACCACTTTATAGTTTTCTTAATGAAATTAACAACACAGGTGAACTTCTTGAAGATGCATCTACTATAGATGAAGTTAAACAACAAAGATGTGTTCGTGCTGAAATTATGACAAGATCTATGGATGAAGCTAGATATTTAAAATTTAGTAAAGCACGTAATGCATCATTTGCAAATAAAAATCGACACAAATTTAGTGATTGGATAGCATCAGAAAGTAAGTTTTATATATTATGAAATATCATATATTTTCTAGTTATTTCTATTTATTCAAATAGATAGAAATTAGAATCTATTCAAATAGATTCTAATATTGTATCATTTATAATATAATTATATCAATTTTAGGTGATGTAACAATATCAAAACAAGCATATACAATTTTGGGTTATTTAGCATATGAAACAGTAGCACAAATTATAGATTTTGCATTATTAGTAAGACAAGATCAAAATAAAATATTTGGAGATGCAATAGATCGTCTAAGACTTAGTTATGTTAATCCTTATACTTACAAACCATATTATCATGGGAAGGTTTGTAACATTTTATTATATTGAATACAAAAAGATAAAGAAACATATTATGTTTTTATTTTTTTAAATAATTAAGCAGGTAGCTGTAACAAAACCAATAACACCTGCTGAAATAATTGAAGCTCTCAGACGGTATTGGTCTCCTCAGTTAGATATGACTGGTCCATTTAATCGTTGGTCTATGAAAAAATCACATTTAAAACTTCTATCATGTTAAGATAAATAAATAAGAGTAAGAATTAATTTAATTATAAAAGCAAAGTATATGTCTTGTATAAAGAAATTATCAGTATTTTATATTAAATTAAATTAGAATATAGAGATATTTTAAAATTGATCAATATTTATTGACAAATTCCTGTATCCCTTACAGATATATTTTAGATTTCCAATATTAGATGTACACATTATAATTACTACTTAAATTATTTGAAGTTTATTCTTTTTTTTTTTTACAAAATCTTTCGATTATGTATCCTAATGTGTCTTATATTTTTTTTTTTTTTTTTTTTTTTTACAATTATAATAGTTTCTGTACATTTTACAATTGATAGTCCCTGATTTCATTTTAAAGATAGATAAAGATTATAATACATTTAACTTTACGCTAACGCATGATACGTTTGCATTCATTGTACTTTTCATAAAATATTTGGATTTTTCCTTCAAAGTATCATAAAATACTTTGAATGTCTTTTAAATGATATCCTTAAATTTCATTATGCAACATAATGACTAAAAAGTTTCTTTTTAACATTCATTATACTAAATATTTAGTATCTACAAATTTGAGCTAGTCTTATAAATTTTACATGATATTTCATGAATTCACACAGATACTAATTTTGCTTCTGTATCATGGTGAAAGTAACGTCGATACACGTACTTTTCCTTCTGCGCCACCAGTTATACAAGTTCCGGATTGATTGGCAGTAGACCAGTCACAACAGAGTGTACCTTTATGTCCGCCTAATTCTAAAATTTTTGCTTGTGTACCTGGTGGCATCTGAAAATTTATATTATATTTAGTATCAAATTGAATAATAAAATTATTAAAATTATTTAATATATAGCTAGATAGTGAAAATTATATACTTTATATATATTTCCTCCAGTTTGTGTACAAAGTAACATATAATTTCCACTTTGATCGAAAGTAAATAATTTTCCATGAACTGTATTTTTTTCTACTTTAATTTTTGTTTCCCATAAAATCTTTCCTGAATGATTTAAACTTCTTTGACAAAGTTTTCCATCCTCACTTTGTGTACAAATGTTCGTGTAATCATTAATTAATTCTATATCAATAATTGGACTTGCATGACAACTTATGTTATCAATAATTTCGTTTCGTCTTAAATCATGTATTAAAATATTTCCATTAGATAATCCCGTAATAAGAAGTTGCCCATTATGATTAAATGCGGAGCATAGCGCAGTTACATTTTGTTCCATTGGCAAAATTCTTTCTAATTTTCTTGTTTTTATATCATATAATAATAATTTTCCTTCATTTGAATCAGATACAGAACATACAAATGTCGATTCCGTTGGATTGCATAATAAAGTAATGATTCGAGAGTTCTCGTGTTGAATATCCCATAAAGTTTTGTAATCGCGAGTATCATGTAATTGAATTAGACCATTATTATCTCCATGTAAAAAATATCGTTCATTTTTCGATATCCAGTCTAATGCTGTAATAGCTTTATTTGAGTTTGCTGGAGTAGAGACAAATGTAGTCACAGTTCTATTGGATAACAAAAAATAAAAAGTAAATTTAGCAAAATTGTAATTATAAAAATTGATATTCTTCTATAACTAATATTTTAATATCTAAATAAGTATTCAATATAATTACTTTGGTGATGGTATCGGAGTCCATACTTTAATAATACCATCAGCATCACCTGTAGCAACGTAAGAACCACTTGCATTACTTTTACATTGAATTATTGATGTTTTGTGTTCTGTATATTCTTCCTAAAAATAATTTTTTTTTATAAAAATTTGTAAAATATTCTCTATAAATACACATAATATACAATATACAAATAATATTTTACTTGACTTAGAAGAATATAAGTGGAATCGATTTTATCTTTAGCTTTCCGTTCGGCTACCGTATCAATAGATGAATCTCTTTTTCTAGAACTTGTTAATCTTGAATCACAGCTAATGCTTCTTTTATTAACAGGTTCAGATTTATTGATCGAATTTATTTTTCCTTTTGTATTAGTTCTTTTTGTTGATATTATTTCAGATTCTACAACTTTTTTTGTACTTGTTCCAGGCTTTCTATTTAAAATTGGACTGGAACCACCACCTATATTTCTTATGAGATTTCTTAAAGTTTTAGGATTTTCTAATAAAGGAGATTCTCTATTTAAATAAAGAGAAACATAATAACACATTAATAATATAGAATAAATTATTTTTAAATTATTTTTGTTTATGAAATGGTTAATGAAAATATTTACTGTGCTATAATATAAAAGTCATCCATAAGTGGTAATTGTTGAGGAGCTGGTCCTGGATTCACATCCATTACATTTTCTATTTTAACAGATTCACTTAAACGTTGCTTCAATATTTCATTCTCTTCTTGAAGACGTTTTAATCTATTTGTATCTTCATCTATTGCAAGCAATGTTGGTTGTGGCATACACTATAGTTAACAAATAAAAAATTAGACTGTACATTGCTTAATTAAATATATATATATTTATAAAAAAATTATATAATATATATTATATAAATATTATATTTATTAATAAATATATATATATATATATATTTTTCTACAATTTAAAATATTAAAATTTATAAATGAGAGGCACGATGCAAAATACCTTTCACCTACTTGAAAAATAGTAGCAAGAAAATTATGCAGGGACACTAACATAGTATCCTGCCACTGTCTACTAAAATGAACAGAATATGCTGGATTGTCTTCGGGATTTTTAACAAATGGTAATGCTGTAAAAATAAAAAAAAAAATACAAAATATTTTTTTCTGTAATTTATATGAATAAAAATATAGAGGAAAAAAAAGAAAAATAAAGTATCCTACCAAACCATTCTTTCCATTCTGAATGCCCTTGCAACTCTGGTGTCATTTTTATAAAAAATTCTTGAATCCTATCTTGTTTATTGTTTACTGCTGCATTAACTAGATACATTTTTAAAACAGCATTCTCTAATTTTCTCACAGCTGGTGTGAAATGACTTTCTAAACGAGAGAACATTCTCATATCTAAATGTCCCCATAACTCTCTTAAAGATGCTAAATCATAATTATATATGTATTGCATCAATTGATCAACAATTTTATCAACCTGATAAAAAAATAATGAAAAATTTTAATTAAAATCAAATCATCATACAGAAATGAACAAATGGTAGTAAATTTATTTCAAATTAAAAAATATAAATACTATAAATAGATTATAAAATGTCTTATTTTTTTACTTTATTTTTATTATTTTTTTAATTAAATAAAATTTATACATATTATTTTCATATAGTTTTATCTTTTTTTTTTTAATCACTTTAAGTGCTTACGCGCTCACCCTGAAACCTTTCTCTTTCTCAGCTTTCAAATCGTTATCAAAAGCCTTCAAAGTTTGACTGAAACCCCTAAATAGCAAATATTCTTTGACCAATTCGTCCACATATTGAATATGAGACATTTTCTCTTATTTCTCTTCGAAATATTAACTTTTTTTTCTTCAAGTGACAGTTGTATGTTGTCATCCTTTAGCCATTTTAATGTTTGAATAGGGAATTTTTTTTAGCGTGTGACAAACAATGTTACCAATATTAATTATCTATTAAATAATATTATTTATTCTTATTTTTTATCTTATATAAAGGCGGGCTCTTGAATCTTTTTATTAAATATTAGTATTCTTAATGTTAACGGTACAGCATAAAATGAAATTGCAATTGAATAATTAAAAATGAATTATATAAAATCATATATGATAAAATATCTTTAATTTTATAATCCTAATATTATTATTATTAATAATATATTATTATATAATTATTTCTATAATTATAATTTAATATAAGATTACTAAAATAATAAAAATAAATTCCCTATACAATCTATATTTGAAAATATTAGAAATAACTTTTATTTGCTTATATACTTAAATCAAGAGGAGAAAAGTACAATTATATTAGATGAAATGTCTAAAAAAATTTAAATATTTTATAATTTTTATATAATATATATATAATAATATATATATTATATATAAATATAATATATAATAAATAAATGTATTATGACAAAAAAATTATAAAAAAAACAAGAGAATAGATTCAACGAATTTTTGATGAATATTGTTTTTAATAGAGTACAAAATTTCTTTCTATTTTCTTTTTATTACTATATTAAATTTTTGTTAAATTTAAATCTTATTGCTATATTGAATAGTATTTTATACCATATATGGCGAATTATGCTAAATAATCGTCTTAAAAATACATTATAAAATGAGAATATAATATCTATATTTTTATATTAAAAATTAAGACATATTATAGTTTCTTAGAAAGAGAAATAATTAATAGAAATTATATTCATATCTCATCTATGGTCATATATATAGTAAGAGAAAATACAAAATAAACAAGGACAGTAGAATAGTAGAAAAATAAATATAGGATGAAAATATAAAAATTAAATATATATGAATATATTTCGATATATATGAAAGACTGTGAACAGATTCTGTGGCAGTTAAAATGCCTACGAAATGGAAGAGCAAAATAATTAAGCGTTCATGATTATATCCTCATAAAAATTAGAAAATTAGCGCCATTTCTAAATTAGATGAAATAAAATAAATGAGATAGAATAAATCAAAATAAAAATAAAAAGAAAAAAAATAAAAACATGTAATTAAGAATTGACTATAAGCGACATCTCTGTGCCAAAGATATTTCTTCAAAAATACCTCTTGAATACTTCTAAAAAAATATTTTTTACATTCAAGAGATAGGGTTGTCAATTTTTACACTATCTCTATCCTTTTTCTATTTATTTATTTATTTTGTCTATATTTGTTTCATGTAAGATAATTTTAAAATGGCGTTGATTTTCAATTTTTATTCTATCTCTGTCCTTTTTTCATTATTTTTTCTTCTTGTCTATATTTGTTCTGCAAAATTTATATGCTCAAGTTTTCATATATAATTAATTTTATTGTCTTTTTTTCCTATTAATTAAAAATTAATTATATCTCGTAAGTATACATATTTATATATGTCCATTTTTGTATATATATATATGTCACATATATATATTATATATTTACATTTTTATATGTCATAAATAAATATAACATAATATTATTTTATATTTCGTATTTTATATATTATATAAATTTATTTTTATATGTCGCAAAAGATTTATATGTTATTATAAATATATGTACAAATTTATTATTACTACATATTATTATAAGTATTAATATATTTGCAGAATACTTTTAGAGAATTTATTTAGAAGGTTAAAACAAATTTAAAAGTTGATACATAAAAATTTCTATTAAAGTTTATTTATTTATAAGTAATTAGAAGTTGAAAATTCAGCGATCTTCTTTTGCATGTCATTTCATTTTCTTCAATTTTTTTTAACCCACTTCAATTGCTTATAATTTAATAAATAAGTTTCAAATATTTTTATATATCAATTTTTATATTTGATTTAATCTCTAAAAATTATCTTGCAAGAATATCGTATGAATATATTAATATCTTGTATAAATATTTTAGAAATGTGCATTAGAGATTTAAATATTAAGATATAGGTTATATAGAACTATTTATTAATTTATTCATTTTATTTTTATGATGTATAAGGAAAATAATTGAAATGAAGATAAAAAATCCTATATCTTAAACATTTATTCGTAAATAAAATTCACAATGATATCATTATGATCATTATTATAATAATAACAAGTACTCGTTACCGGTAATCAAAGTGTTTGTTTTTTATTTCGTTCTCTTTCTTAAGTGAATTTGCAATGTGTAGTAAAATTGCAGATATATTGTATAGACACTAAGCGATCTGCTATATTTTTTTTCATAGGAAAGAAGAAATATATTTTTGATGCTTAGCAACGAGTATACGCCATATATTTTTCTCTATTTCTATAATTTAACTGCATTTCAGGGATTTTTATTTTTACCTGATAAAATATTAATAGCTAATACAGTTCATTCTTAAAAGGCACAAGTTTTTTTCTTCCTCTTCCCGCGACGAAAATTTATTTCGATCTTCCAGTTCGATCGTCAAATATATTTATCTTTTTCTTTACAACAATATTCATAATTATACAGTCGATTTTTTAAATGTTTCATTTTGATTTATTATGTACTGAAAATTTTATTCATTATTAAAAAAGGAAAAAATATTTTGTTTTATAAATATTTTAACATGATTATTTTTAATCATTAACATGATCAAATTGTTTGATCATATATTTTTTTTTTAAAATATACAGATATATATAATGTAAATAAAATAATTACAATATAAATCATATAAAAATAGAAAAAGTAAAAATATTATTATGATTGAATAAATCAATATAAAAAAAATATTTTAAATTATTTGAAAAATAAATATTTCAATATATATTTTATATTAAAATATTTTTATAAATTATCGATTTTTGTTTATCGAATATGTTGTAAATTAGAAAATATTGTTTACAATTTAATATTATTGAATAAAAATAGATATCTTCATATTCTAACCATAGTGTTTTACAAATATAACTGGAAGATCGTTTAAACAATACGATTATCTATACTATTTTTTAAAAACGGAACATTCGAATAGAATTAAAAAATTGAAAGATTAAGTTATCCGTTCGAAATTTCATAATACATAATATAAAAACAATTTGAGGCAAAAAAGAAAACAGCAATATAGTAATCTAAAAAATATATAAAATACGAGATTGTATTTATTGTCAACAATAAACTACGACAAATAAATCTAAAATAAATAATAATAATAATAATTATTGTTTTTGGCCTATGAAAAATAATAAGAATAGTTATAGAATTATATTTTTTTCATTATCGAAATAAAAAGTATCGGATAATCTTATTTACGTTTGTAATATTATTAAGTTAGCTTGTTTATATTGTGATGATTTTACTTTGTTACATTTTGCTTATTAATTGTTCGTTAATTTGTATACGATAATTAATATAGATTTTAATATAGATGACATATTTCAAATTTTTTGAAAATTTCAATCATAGGCCAAAAATTTGAGATTATAAGCAGAAATGAAAATCGAACATTAATATTCAAAGTTTTAAAGAATATAAATATGTTCCGTATCGCATCATAATTGAAAATTTCAAGTCAAGTAGATTAGCTTAGAATATTTAATTATACGTAGCTATAACCTATTGCAATTTTTTTTTATTACATCTAAAAATCTCAAATACTTTACTCAAGCTTGATTAAAATTTGTTTCATAATAAAAAAATCATAGAATTATAGCGATTTTTGATTTTTTTATCTTTTCTTTTTAAAAGTTAAAAAATATCTTTGCTCTCTTAATATTTTTATCATGCATTAGAATTATAAATTCTTTCAATGATTGCACGACACGGAACTTACTTATTTTAACTTTAGTTTTCCAATTAGAAAAATCTAAAAATAAACTCAAATTTCCTATCGATTCGTAAATTGATCAAAAGTAATATATTAATATAATTTCAATTATCAAAAAATGCTTCAAAGATAGTTTCATACCATAAACATAAAGAAATTCATAATTACGTGTATTTTTTATTATGACTAGAGTGCAGTAATTGATAGATCATATGTTTTAACAGCCTGTGTCCCATAAAGAGCTTAAAGTGTCGATTGGCCATTATATATGTATAACACTGTTCATGTACACATGTGAACAGCACATTGGATCGAGCACCAATCTCAAAGAGAATTATATATACGTGTGTATATCTTTAGTGATTTTATTTCCATTATTTTAATTCGTCATTGAACATTGTTCGTTTAAGCGAGCGAACAAACATGGCTTTAAAGCGAAAATGCGCGCGTGTCATTGGTGCTTGTTGTGCGAACGCAGCAATCGATTGGATGATTAGAATATTCTTTTGTTATTTTTTTCAATTTTAAAAATTTTTTTTTAGAAAATTTCTATAAATCCATGTCTTCTTGTTTGGCTTTGGGTGCGATTCTCTCGCCGCTATCGGACTCTTTGACGGAAACATGAACATCAGCTATTTCAACAGGTGGAGGAATCACTGGATTCACTGATCGATCCTCTTCAGCGACTTCAAAGCCAATCGTCGCGCCAATCTTCTGACTTGCCTGCCTGAATGAATCTGATAACATCACCTATGATGAAAGATTGATGAAAAATTATTAAAACATATATAAATATTCTAGTTTTTACATCTATTTTTATATCTATTTTTATTGATTTTAATTAATTTTATATTTTTTAAAATAATAGTTTATATTTTATAAAATTATAGATTAATTAAATTAATATAAATATAAATTAGATTAAATATTATTATATTGAATATAAATATTAGAAATTATTATTATAGAAAAATAAAAATTTTAAAAATGAGATTAAATCAATAAAATATATATAGAATTTAAGTGTTATTAATGAAATATTTTTCGAAAAAATTTGAAATTTATCTTTTCTGCATATTTTGTTTTTAAAAAAAATTATGTTAAATAATTATAAAACTAGTAAATCTAGTAAAACTAGTAAAACTAGTTCTAATCTAGTAAATTGAAAATAATAATTTGAATTTAAATTCAAAATCTTTTGAAATTTTTCTGAAACATAATGTAAAGATAAATTTTAAGGAATCAAATTTGTAGAAAATCTTTTTATATAATATCCAATAAAGAAAATAACAAATATAATTAGAGAAAAGTTAATTAAAAATAAAAGATTTATACCTGTACAACATTGATGCACATAGATGTGAGGGCCAGGCCGAACACCAGGTATATTATCGAACCCATCATGTATACGGGATGCTAGATCAACCAACCAATCAATTTGTTAATTTGTGCATGTGTACTTGTCATTCTTCAATATTTTTAATTTTCAATAAGAAAACACGTGCAATTGTGCTGAAGTGATATTTATGCAAAAAGCACGTACAGAATAATGTATATATGATGTTGTACGATTTTTCGCATTATATGTATCTTTTTTTAGTTTGTCTATTTGTTGATGATGACCTTTTTGATTTTCAAAGCTTACCATCTGAACGCCACCGTGAAAGAAAGAAGCAAGAAAATAAGTTAATTATATATTAACGACATGGCTTCACTATTGAAGAATTGTTGGGACAAGGGAACATTCCATCGGTCAGATATAAAGCGAACGCTAATTGCAAATGAAAATCTAAGAATAATATTCTTCTAAGAGAAATGTTTTGAATCGAATATTTTATAACGGATTAAAAAAAAAGATATATCATATGATGATAATTTTTAATAATAAATTTTTAATAATTTAATAATTTTCTTTTATTTATATATAAGAAAATTAAAAATTTGTTCTTGTTCAAAATTTTGAAAGATATTTAAAACAAAAAAAGAGAAAATATTGAAATAAGACATTAATTTTTTAAAAATTTATGAATTTTTCCCTCTGATTTTATTAATTTCAAAAAAATTTACACATGGCAGGCTGAGAATTATGGTATGAATTACAAAATATTTTTAAGAAATCAATCATATTCAAAAACATTATTATTACATAATTATTTAAATTAATTAAAAATTTTTTATATTTTTATATTCTTCAGTCTTATATCTCCAATACATTGAAATAATTTATACCGAATACACTTAAAATAACATGAAATTGTAGCATTTCATTTTTTATTAGATTTACACAACTACGATTATGTTGAAACTGAAGAATATTTGAATTAAATAAATTTGCAATTTGTTTTTATTATGCAATATAACTAAAGATTTTTAATTAACTTTTACTTAAAAAAATATTCCAACAAATATGTCTCTTTGATTTTATTCTCACAACACAAATGAATCTCTTCATCTAGGGGGAACAGATATGATTGGAACAAGATGCAAAATATAAAACGACGATTAAAAAACGTCGTTGAAATAAATGAAAAAAAAAAAAAAGGCAAAGAAAAGATCACCTGTGGCACGTAATCGCCGAAACCTATAGTACTCATGGAGATGAAGACAAAATAGAAGCTCTCGAAGAAGCCCCATTCTTCCGACCACCAGAATATAGCCGCGCCGATGAAGATGTAAACGACAAGGATAAAGATGGCAACAGAAATCGGTAAATTGAACTCGTCGTCGACAGCAAACGCTGACATTGCTGGTGTTTCAGGTGTATCAGGCACGTTTCCATCTAAGTTGAGAACAGTTTGAGATTGTTGTGCCTGTTTCTGCATTTCTTCAATGTCCTCTGGATTAATCTGCGAGGGCCTCTTAAATGTTGCTAGATCGTACACCAATTGTACGCCTTTCATTACCTCCTGTTTAAGAAAAGTTTTATTCAATGAAAAATGGAATTATAACATTATATTATTCAATTATGTTATACAAATTGTGGCGCGATAAATTTCGTTTTTAGATAAGCAACTTCTTTTAATAACTTGTTTAATTTTTTTTTATTGTTATTCGTTTTAAAATGGATATTTATAATTAAAATAAAAACTACTTGTTGAGGATCTTGCAAGAAGAGGTGAGTATACTTATTTTTAATAATTTTTGATTTATTAGACGCAATATATTTCATTTAAACAAAATTCCACATCGTGTGGTATAAATTAGATGCAAGTATTGTAACAAAAACAAATATTTACTATAAATTTTCTAGATGTATATTGTTCTATGCAATAAAAATATAGATTGTTAAGTGAAATAAGAATGCAGATCTAGATTTATTCTTATCTTGCATCTAATAAAATTATTAATAAAAATAAAATTTTTAAAAATTGAAGTAAATTTATCAACAACTATTAATTATAAAAAAATATATTTTTTCAACAAAATTTTTTTTTAATATTAAGTAAAAATTTTATAAGCAGTTTTTTAAATTTTTCTAAAGTTATAAATAAATTTATCCTTGTCTGCAAGAAACTCAATTATATATTGATTTTAGTTTTTCAAGAAATGTTTTAATAATATTTCTTCTTTCATGAAATTTATATTAAAAAGAAAAAAATGAAAAATTACAAAGAAAAATAGAAAAAAACATAAAACAAACGTAATATACAAAATTAATAGCATTATTAATGAAAAATAAAATAGAAATAATAAATAAAATAGGAATAATAAACATAATGAGATAATATAAATAATATCAAAATTAATAAAGAAAGTAGCAAACGAATGAAAATCAAAATCTAAAATAAAAATTATTCTTAAATCGGTTTTTCAATTTTACAATTCTGATCTTTCCTTTCGTTACTAAATTTCTTACTTGGACAGGTACAGTTCGACGAACTTTCCGGCAACTTCCGGTATAATAGAGCCTTCTCACGAACGCCCAAAGGAACTTGATACCACGTGTAAATAATTTGCCAAAATCAGCCAATATTATCAGAAACATCGGAATCCCGAAGATAGCGTAAACTATTGTGATTGCTCTTCCGGTGTTGGTACTGGGTGAAATGTGGCCGTATCCTAAAATAACGCGAGAGAATTCGTAATTGTGAAACACTGATAATACTTAAAATATTGTAATATAATCTATTATCAACAATAAGAATTGAAATTTTTAGAGAGATTCGAACTCATTCGCATCTTCTATGGGATAAAAATAACCTAGGTGATACTAAATATTGCGATGGCATTTGATCTAACTTTAGCAGTTTTAGTGATATAATTTGGCGGTTGTTTACTCGTCGTATTTTTCAATAATAGAATATTGTTTTGATGCGGATGTTTTAAGTAATTACAATTATTTTTTTTAAGAATTTGTTTCTAAATAAAGTTGATAAATTCATTGATAAATGGTTTTGTATACCAATTCGAGTTCCACATTGTTAATAAATTTTCGATTAATTGCAATTAGTTTATTATATTAAATGAAAAATATGATAACAAATTAAAAATTAAAAAAAATTAAAATTAAAATTAGAGATATCTCTAATTTTAAAGATAGATATGATTCATAAATTTATTTCTTTTTAATTAAATATTCATAAATATTCATAATTTATTATGAATATTCATATTGCATTTTATAATTTTTTAGTTTTAATCGAATTTAATTAGACATTGGATAAATTATATTATGCAAATTCAAGATCGCTTTTGTTCTCAAAATTAAATTTTCAATCATTCAAAATTACTAATTAATAATGATACAAACATAAAGATAAATTACGAATTTGCTCTTTTTATTAAATATCCTATTTATTATCAATATTCGATTAATTATGAGTTTTAATTTATATACATGTCATTAGACTAGATTAAAAAGAATATGCAAATGATAGATTTTTAATACTTAAAAATCTAACATTCTTTTTAAATTATTAATTCGTTATTAATACTTAATAATAATCATTATCTCTGTCATCAAATCATCTCAAAATTCAATATTTTAGCGAATATAGCGCATCGAGAAATTGGAAAAATTATCATTTTCATTTTAAATTTTATCAATTTTATATATTTTCACAACTACCATCGGACGCGTGCGCACTCAGCTTTTGACAAATATCAAGTACCATACTATCGTCAACACAACTATATTCACCACTCGGAAAATCAATACGGAACTCGTAAAACGACTCAATCATATCGCCTCATTTCATCATATATCAAACGCTTTCACCCCATCTATCCTCCCACATATCTCTTCTATACCGATATTCCTCACCGATGGTGGTTATGACGGTCAGACAGTAAACAACGGCGTTCAAAAAGCTCCAACTTCTTTGCCCGCTGTACGTGTGAACCCCCGCCTCGTGGGCCGTGTGCAATTGCTCCTCGAACTCCATCAACTTCCGCCGAGCCATGCTCTTCCAATCGTCCTCCCTCAAATTGTGACTGTAGTTCCACAAAGTGTCCAAGAAATCACGTTTCACCCTTTTCACGCCGCATTTGTAGAAGGTCTCGAATGCCCCCTCGGTGAATCGGAAGACGAACGCGCCCAAACCGCAATAGATCATCACCAACATCAACTCTGACAAGCAACGATTCCTCAATCTCCTTACAATTTGTGTCTCCTTGGGATTTTGCTCCACGAATGCTTTAAACTCGGCAATTACATCCCTCAACGCCCTCAGAAAGTCCATCAAAGTGACTTTCGTCGGTTGGTCCGTAATTAATTTCCTGAATTTCGTCTGCGACGTCTCTTCGATATCCGAAATCTTCTTTGGTCCTCCTTCGTCCCTCTTATTCTCTGGTTCTTTTTCTTCTATTTTCTTACCGAAGAAAGAAAGCCAGGAGAACCAGGACTTCTTCCTCTTCTTCTCGGATTCTTTCAATTTTTCGATCGACTTCTCGATAGCAATTTCCTCGCTTTCTGTGAGCAGCGTGCTGAATTTCCTTCTTCTCAGTATCGTTTCTTGAGCATCTTCGAACACGTCTGGAGTATCAGGATCAAGGATACTCTGTTCTCTTTTTAGATACTCTTCTTGAGCCTTGGCGAAGTCTTGTATTAAGCTGTCGTTGCTCAAAGGGATTATCTGTTTCTTCGTATCCGAGCTGGATCTCTTCATGATCACTTCAGTCCCCTGCCGAGGGAACGACTCGCTTTTCTTTATTTTACGATCCTCGTCGGTGTCGTCAGTTTGACTGTACAATCTGGATCGTCTCCTCTCCGGTTTCACTTGAACATCTTCCTCGAGCTTTTGTCTACTCGATTTCTTTTCCCTCGGGGGCTTCTCGATTACGTGTCTCGTTGCAACATCAAGATCACCACTGCTGGTCTTCTTCGATACTGTTCTCTTCGTCTTAACCTTTCCTACTTCCGGTGATTTCGTTCTCCTCGGATGTCTCTCCATTTCCTCCATATCACTGGAGTCGCTCGACTGACCATGCCTCTCCAATCGTTCCCTCGATTTCTTTTTCAATCGTCTCTCCACCTTCTTAGGTTCAACCGGTTGATCGACATCACCGTCAATTTCTTTCGATTTAGGTATAGCATCTTTGTACTTCTCCTTTTCGATAACTTCGCTAATTCCTGATTCTTCTTTCGACACATCATCCTTATATCCTTTCTCCTTCACGATAACCTCAACGATCGTCGACTCTTCTTTCACTGGACTTCCGTTATCAACTTTACTGATCACCTCCTTCTTTATCGACTGAGCACTTGCCTCGTCTTTAGCGTCACTTTCACGTGTTTGCGATTCTTTCGGAGGAGAACTCTCGCCCATCTTCCATAACGTATCGTGTTCCACGACTTTCAATGGACTTTTCTTCTTCTCCTCTATCCTCGGTTCCAATTCGTCCCTAACCTTTGTGTCCTCGTCCAATTCCATCCGCTCGGCATCCTCCGCCATCTGTATCATTCTGGCGCGTCTCGCTTCCTCCTCGTCGTCGGACGTCTCGACCAGCTGTTGGTTCCTTGACGACGGATCAGGTGTCTTTTCCCGCCTTCTCGCTGCCGCCTTGCGTCGCCTGTGCACCATGTAACTGTCCTCCATGGCGGGATGGACGATCGTGAAGGATCGTTAATCGCAATGTCGGACTGGTGCACTGTGAATACTGTGACCGAACGACGCGAAAACTGCACACGATTGCGTCTGTTGGCTCCCGGTGCAGACGGACACCGAGACAGAAATAAAACAGAGGCTGCTCCCACCACACAGCAGTCTGTTACCAGCGGAACCAGATAGTTTTGCCGCAGCGGGTATCGAGCGAAGCTGGCACGCGAATCGCGCGCAACCGAGAGGCCAACCACGATGCCGGCCCTGCAGCAACTGCAACCCGTTCAACGGCCCGCGGTATTCGGCAACCCGACCTGCAATCGGTTATTACCACCACCCTTCCGAATTTTCGAGCGCTATGCGGCTCTACTGTTTTCAAGGCTGTTTTGACGCATCACTTTTCGTGATCCATTATTATTTCGTGGAATTATGAGAAATTGTAGCTGGAGCTTTAAAGGAATTTTATTTTTTATTATTTTTAATTATACGTAATTGGTTAACGAATAAATCGTTTACGTTGTATTATGTTAATTATAAATGAATTTTTATGCTATGCTATTCTTTCTTTCGTTTCCAAAGATTGATTGCATCTCATTGAGAATTTTGAGAAATTCTGTTATTATTTTATGGAATGAATAAATAAATTTTTAAGATAATGTTTTGCCTATGCAATTCTTTATTTTTTAATACTGCTTTGAAAGATTGACGCGTTACATTTTGTGATCCAATTGAGAAGTTTAAAATTATTAAAAAATTATTATTTAATATGTTGATTATATGAATTATATGAATTACCAGTAATTAGAAATTATCTAAAAATTAAATTAATTAAATATAATATATATATGTAGTAATATATTTATGTAGAAGGACTTGATCTTTCTTCTTTTAATCCATTAATAGCAAGAAATGTTTAATATTTATTCCAGAGGAAGCAATTTGCACAAAGATAAAATAGGAAATCGTTTATATAAAATGATTGTTCAAAGTTTTCTTCGAAGTTTCACGATTCTCATAGCTCTTGAAACTTATTTGCTTACTTGGGACGTTATCAATATTAACTTCTTAACGTTTGCTACATTTTTTAATCATATAAATCCAACTAAAATTACGAAGTATTATCCTAATAATTTTTATAAATCAGATCATAAAAGTTTTTAAATGATAGTTTAAAACAAATTTATTCTGAGTCCTTCTGAATAATATTTTTATGAATTTTACAGCATAATATTTTAATATTTTCAAGAAGTATTCCAATTATAGTATTCTAATCATATAACAAATATAGAATTTTAGTCTACATTTTAAAATTCTTAATTTATAAAAATGATAAAAAAATATATAATATTGGAACAATTTTTGTTAACAAGTTTTTAATAAATAATGAGTAACAAATAGAAATTTCTAAAACTTAATTAGAAATGATGAGTTCTGTCATCACAACAAAACAAATGTCTGCAACATGTCATATATGCAATACATAAAATATTATTTTTGACAATATTTTCATTAAAATCAGTGTTATATATCTCTTTGAAAATAATTATCAATTTAATTTTAATCAATTATATTAATGATTTTTAACTCATTTGCAGACGTTTCTAATGAAATATTATATAATAGAGTCTCATTCAAGAAGAAGAATCAGAAATAGAATAATTTAATAATTTAATCAGAAAATATAATAATTCAAAATAGAATGATATTTTTATACAATATTTGTAATAATCATGTAATTTTTTAAATAATTAAATATTAATTATATATAATTATATTTTTATTATAAATATAGGTAAAATTAAGATTTTTTAAAATAATTTTAAAATTAATTCAGTTTGATTTTTAAATGATAGATATACAGATGTTTTTACATATTTTCTATATTTAAATTATTTTAATAAACATAATATTCATTGTCTCAATTAACATTTAAAATTTCATTTTCAGAAAATTTTTATTTTCAAATATTTGAATTTTTATCTCAATTTAAAAACGTTATTTTTCTATTCGAATCATGTACTTTGAAGTTAATCTCGCAGAAATTAAGATTTGTATTATTACAATACTTTTATCCGTTAATTAACGAGAGATATAAATGTGATATGTTTCAATGAAATGCTACTTTTCAATCTCTGTTTCTTTCCATCTCTATTTTATATTTTTCAGAATCAAATACATCAATCTTGGTAATTTGTCATTCGTTTATTTTCGTATTCTTTCATCTTCTATTTAGTTTCCTCATCATTCATCTACTTATAGATGATATAAAATATAGAAGACTTATAGAAGATATAAAATAAAAAAGTTTTATTTTAGAATAAAAGAAGAAAAATCTATTTTCGTAAAATTTTAATAATAAGATATAAATTTTTTATCTTTTTCTTTAAACAATATTTTTGTTAACGAACAAAGTTTTTTCAATTTTTCTCTGGTTACTTTGCTTTGATATTAATTTTTCTGTATTTAAAAGAAATTCCATTATTCTCCATCTTTCTTTTTTTATAATATTCATACTTATATTTATAATATAACTTTCTTTTATTTGTATTCTTTCAATTATACTTTATATTTATCGTTTTCTGGTGAGAAAAAGAACTTTCTTTGTCTCATTTATCGTCGAGTGTTAATAGTATAAGAGATATATTTTATGCTTCTATATTAAAATTCTTTGAGAAAAAATGAATAAATAATGTGACAAAATAAAATGTAAAGTTCCTTCTTATTATAATACAATAACAAATAACAAACGAAAAATTCTATATTTCCATAATAATATTTAAACTGTTAAAATCTAAATTTGATTAACAAATTTGTTGAAGTACTATAAATTATAATTAATGCTGCCTATTTAGAAATTATCATTATTTTTATCGATTTTATAAATTTTTGATTCAATCATTTTCAGAAATTTAACTTTTGTTTTTTGCAAATAATATTTTGATAAAATGTATAGATAATTTTGGATGAATAAATTTTGATTAAATTTAGAATACATTAAAGAATATTATTATTTCATAAATATATATTTTTATTTGTAAGTATTATTTTATGATATAAAATTGAAAAAAAGAAAGATATCATAATTATATGATATAATAAAAATAAGAATTAAAAAGCTAAAAGAATATATTTAAAAATATGAAAAATCAAAAATATGCATTCTCAATTTGAAAAATTAGAGAAAAATTTCACTATTAAAAAATAATCGTACGATTTTAATTTTTTGTTACATCTTTTATAATTTAAGATAAATAGAATTACAAGCAAATTAAATATATTGGGCATACTAATAGTTAAATATAATTGGATTACTATTAATTAAATAAATTCATATTACAATATTCTCAACAATTATTTGAAAAGTTAAGTAATGTAAATCACATAAATTATTTAAAGATATTCATATTTAAAAGAAAAATAGTTTTTTTAAATTAAAATTATTGTAACTTAAAATGACAGTACAGTTCCATTTATTAATTATGAATTTTATATCATTATATTTTCCAGTCCTCCATGTATTTCGAAAGTTTCGAATCATAAAAATAGCAGATTTCGAGAACTTCTATCGAGAATCTTAAAAAGAATCTTTCAGGTTTCAAAACATTTTGAACTCTAAATTCTAAATAAAATTTTTCTGAAAAAAAAGAAAGAAAAAAAGAAAAAAGAAAAATTTTTTTAAAAATTTAAGCAGAAAAAGGACTTTGATTTTTTTTTTTAATATCATTGATATCAAAAAAAAAAAAAAGAGAGAAAAGAAAAAAAAAGAGAAAAAAATACATTTCTGCTGAAAAATTAACGCAGCAAATGTGTTTCCATAAAATCCATTAATTAGTTCTAATTCTCCTATGTAAATCGTCCTATCTTAAAACCAACGAACGTGTCATCCAAGTCCAACTTGAGATCGATTTAATGCTTCGTCAAATGTCCTTTATCGATCCAATTTTTCTCGTGCATTTTAACGTGAAAACCTCTCAGCTTCATTTCATTTTATCCCTGTTTTAATAGCACTTCCATCTTTTTAATTCTACGTTTTTTTTTTATAACACTCGATTCAAATATATTCTACATTTTTACAAACAGAGAGAAAAATGGTTAGAATGGAGGTCGAAAGCTAAAAGAGAGGAAAATGGAATTTTAGAGAAAATACGCATGATACTTATTGTAAAAAGTATATATATATAATGCGTTGGTATTAAAATGAAATGAAAATAAAAGTTTTGATTAATTAATTTATAGTACTTTGAATTTTTCAAAATCTTTTTCTCTATGTCAAATTAATATCGATGCTTCAAATTTTTTTATCATTCGTTTTACCTTACAAAAATGTATGGATTTTTAAAAAATATTTTTATTAAAAACGAGAAAAAAAAAAAAGATCCATTGAAATTTCAATTTTTATTCTATTGAACCATATGTCTCCGTGATTCAGAAATCACGTCGTGCAATTTTGTGACAAACAAAAGTGAAAACAATATAAATCTCTGGTGAAAGTAAATATTTTCAGGGACAATTAAGATATTTTCGTTTCAGTGAACAGTGCTCGGCAATGGGAAAACACGAGGGCGCAATTTCTAATTCAAAGAGCACCAATTCACCGACATTGCAATTTCCTTTTGTTCCTATGTATATCTAGGCGAATGCGACTCGAGGCCAGAACTTTTCATCGTCTGTCACCGTGAATGTACGTCAAAAATTTTAGCTATTGAGCTACGAGTGAATAAGGTTTGAATTTTTAACGAGAGAAAATTGAGATATTTGTAAGATCTTTTGCAATTGAAGAAATGACAGTTCTCTTTTTTATCATATTATTCAATACATATTATAATATTATTAATCTCAATCATCGTAATCTTTTAAGTTCCAAATCTTTTAATCAACCTAACCTAACTTCTTTAAGTTTCAAATTTTAAAATTATTATTTAAAAATTGTAAAATTGATATATATGTCTTCTTTCGTTATATTGGAATCAAAATTGTAGATATTTATAGTAAAACTAATCTATTTATATAAATTATTTATCGTTTATTTATCATTTTAACACATATTGTCTAAATGCATAATATCGTTGGTTGTTTTATTTCTGTTTCTGTTTCCAAATGCCAACATACTTTTCAATGGATATTTTATTCTTTCCGTGTATCGTGTATTCTATCATGTATTACATTTTATATATTTTTGTATATTTAAATTTTTTATAAGATATTTAAATTAAATGCAGTATAAAAAATATAATTAAATTTAATAAATAAGAAATACTAAGAATATTACTAAGAGAAAATTTAATGAGATTTGAAGAGGTCTTTCATCCCAAATGAAACAATTTGACAACATGTAATATTAGTATAAAAGCTTAAGTAAATTCTGAAATACGCAAAAATAAAGATGATACAGGCCAA